CCTAAAAATTGTAATGCTGTATACACTGATTTTAGTAAAGCTTTTGATAAACTCAATCATGAAATTTTGATTCATAAACTTATGTCACTTGGAATTTCTGGTTCATTGCTATCATGGCTTGTCAGTTATCTTACCAACAGATATCAGCAAGTGAAATGGAATGATTTACTATCTGATTTCCAGCATGTGCCTTCAGGAGTTCCTCAAGGTTCAATTTTGGGACCTTTGCTATTTTTGATATATATTAATGATGTTAGCTGTAATTTTCTTTGTAAATTTGCCCTGTTTGCTGATGACCTTAAAATGTACAGTGTTATAAAAGACGAATCAGATATGAAATTATTGCAACATGATCTTGATTGTTTAACGAAATGGTGTGCTAAAAACTTGATGGTATTAAATCTTGATAAGTGTCAGGCCATTAACTTCAGTAGGAAAATAAAGCCTAATAAACCGTGTTATTTGATTGACAACAAAATTCTGAAAATAAATACTGTGATCAAAGATCTTGGAGTCTTCCTAGATAGCAAATTAACCTTTAAATTTCATTGTGACTTTGTTATCGCCAAAGCAAATAAATTGCTTGGGTGTATTAAAAGGTTTACTAGGAACTTTACCGATGTTCGCACCCTGACTATATTGTTTATTACATTTGTGCGATCTGTACTTGAATATGGGTGTTTAATCTGGGCCCCATACTACAGGACTCACGTTGAGAGAATTGAAAAAATTCAGCATAAATTTATAAGATCCATGCTTCATAGGTTACCCACGAATGTAAGTTCTTCCATGGAACTTAGTAGATCCTACTTAGGACTTGATTTATTAGAATCTCGTAGGCTTTTTCTAAAAGTATGTTTCGTTTATAAAGTATTAAATAATCAATATGACGTACCGAATATTATTAATTTACTGCAGTTTAACGTCCCTTGTTATACCCTCAGGTCAGTTCCGTTGTTCTACATAGATTTTTGCCAGTCTAATTATGCGTTACGATCACCCATGAATTCTCTAATGTTTGCATGTAATAGTGTAAGTGATTATGTTGACTTCTTTGCGGACATGTTACCCACTTTTAAGAGAAATATTAGAGCTATATTATTGTAATCTTTTTGAACCATGTGTACCTTGTGTTATCGTTCTTTCCATGTACCGATGTATGCTGTAAAGGCTTTTTTGCCGTAAATAAACTATATATAATAATAGGATCGAAAGCAATAGAATCGTCAAAAACTGTAACATTTAAAGTTCGAAAAATGGAAAAATTAAGTATCAAGAAACTGAAAAATTACATATCGAATAAACGGAAAACTAAAAAAGTGAATTTTAAAAATTATTGTTACATATTGCATATTTAAAACGAAAACTAGAAACATTGTAATTAAATTTTTCTATTTTTTGTTTCCTTAATTTTTGAAGTTCATGATTTTCCCATTTTCCAGATTTTTTATTTTTATTTTCTCGATTTTGATCATTTCCTTTATTATTCCTCCGATTTTCCAATTTTTAAATTTTTGGTTTTCCAGTTATCCGATTTTCCGATTTCTTTAATTAATTCGATTTTAAAATACATATGTACATATTTCGATTTTGCACTTTTTCGATTTTTAAGTTCCTCAACTTTCAACCCTTCGATTTTCGAATTTTTGGTTTCTTCAATTTTTCCAAGTTTTCGTTTTATATTTTTTCATTTTTACATTTGTCGTTTCTCAATTTCACAATTTTGTAATTTTTCCATTTTTTTTATTCGAAAAGTCGAAAAACCAAAAAACCGGAAAAAATTGAAAAACTGAATCGGAAAAGCGGAAAATCGAAAAATTGTAAAACGAAGAACCGAAGAATTACAACATTAAAAACCAAAAATTCCCAGATTTGAAAATCGAAAAAAAAAATATCGTCAAGATTTTAAAGTCGGTATAACTAACATTGGAAGATCGAAAAATCGAAAAATTAAATATCGAAAATTTTTTTATTTAAAATTGTTCAAAATTTTTGATTTTTCAAATTTTTGATTTTTCACTTAAATGATTTAACAATTTTCCGTCTTTACAAGCATCCAAATTTCAAAATTTCGATTTCCAATTTTCCAAATTTTTGATCTTTGAGTTTCTTAATTTTGCACTTTTTCAATTTTTATTAGTTCTTGTTAAGGTAAGAGTGTTTTTGGCAAACAGCATAGCCTCTAAGAAAATAAAGGGCGGGTGGGCGGGGCTACTTCTTGCCAAGACAAACCTGAATTTGGCAAATCACATACTCTCCAAGAAAAGAGAGGGTGGGTGGGCGGGGCTAATACTTGCTAAGATTAGACTGATATTGGTAAATGATCCACTCTCTTAGAAATTGTAGGGTAGAGGGTATATCATTTGGCAAAATCAGTTCTATCTTGGCAAGAATTAAAAGTAATAAAATGTCAAAAGAGGGCGACAAAAAGTCACAAAGTGAATTTAGAAGAAAAAGACAAAGAATAGCGCAATAAAAAGAAGGCAAAAAAAATGCGACAAGTGTCAAAAAAAGAACAAAAAAAAAATACATAAAAGAAAAGTAGCCAATAAAATGTCAAAAACAGGGCGAAAAGTAGCAAAATGTAACAAAAACGTAACGAAAAAAGACCATTACAAAGATTTAAAAAAAAGGCGAAAGAAACACGGCCTAAAAGACGAAGAACGACTGAAGGAAAGAAAAAGGCAACAAAATGCGCCAAAAAAAAATGTAAAAAAAAAACGACTAAAAAGTAGTAAAGAACTAAACAATTATAAAAAACGACTAAAATGTTACAAAAAAAACTGCTTCAGATATGGAGGCAATAAAATGTCAAAAAAGGCGACAAAAAAGAAAACATGAAAGAAAAAAGTCGATTAAAAACTAAAGCAAAGAAAAGAAGACGAACGAAATGCGATAAGTGTCAAAAAAAAGGAGAAAAACGGAAAAAAAAGCCAATAAAACGGAGAAAAATACAAAAAAAAAAAAAACAAAAACGAAGAAGCAAAGAAACGAAAAAAATGGATAACTCAAAGAAAAATGTAGCAATAAAATGCGCCAAAGAAATGTCTTAAAAGAAATGGCACAAAAAAAGTGGGCAACAAAATGTTAAAAATGCGATAGTGATAAAACAATTATAAAAAAAAAGAAAAAAAAAAGGGGGACAACAAAACAGAATACCTCGACACCAATTGTAGAATAGGTTGCAAATAAGTAACAAATCGAGACACAGAGAAGACAATAAAAACGGAGGAAAACGGTAAAAAAAACATAAAAAAAAGAGACTAAAGAAAAGAAAAAAATGACAATAAAATGCGCTAAAAAATAGTTGACAAAAAAGAGGACAAAAACCATGTTAAAACAAAGAAGACAATAAATACGAAAAAAAGGAGAAAAAAAGGGCGATAAATGAAAACGGGGAAATTAGCAAAAAAAGCGACCAAAACAGAACATTGCAAAGCAAAATGTGGCAAAAAAATGTAAAGAATAATTAATGAAAAGAAATGGACAAAAAGCTACAAAAAAAAAAATAATATTACAGAAATGTAGGCAATAAAAAGTGCTAAAAATAATAAAGTGCCAAAAAAGCGGCAAAAGTCACAATGAAAATGACAAAAAAAAAAAACGCTGTGAAGAACGCAAAAAAAGGACCAGCAAAAAGGAACAAAAAAAAAAAAAAACGCGTGAGAAAAAGTAACAAATAAACGAGACAAAAAAGGTGAATAAACCCAAACAAAAAAAATTGATAATAAAAAAAAGGGAGACCAAAGAAAAGAAAAAGACGACAATAAAATGCGCTAAAAAAATAGCTGACAAGAGGCGCAAAAAAAGGAGAAAAACTACAAAGAAGAGAATAAAAACAGACAAAAGCTGCAAAGAAGCCGAAAAAAAGCGCTAAAAGAAATGGACAAAAAAAAGCTGCAAAAAACTGCCACAGAAATATAAGCAAAAATGTGCAATAAAACGTTAAAAAAAGATGACAAAAAGTCAAAGAAAATGTGTCACAAAGAAGACAATAAATACGAGAAAAAGCGGCAAAAAAGAACGATCAATGAAAAAGGCGAAAAAACGAAGAAAGCCAGAAAAAAGGACAAAATACACTAAACGTAAAAAAAAATTAAAAAAAAAAAAATGACCAAAAGACCGCGACAGAAAAATGCGCAATAAACTGTTAAAAAAAGAGGACAAAAAGTAAAAGAAAATGTGACAAAAACCATGTTAAAACAGAGAAGACAATAAATACGAAAAAAGGGGCGATAAATGAAAAAGGCGAATTTGGCAAAAAAAAGGGCGACCAAAACAGAAAATTGCAATGCAAAATGTGCCAAAAAATTGTTCAAAATAATACGACAAAAAAAACCCTGTTAGAACGTAAAAAACGGCCTACTAAAACCACCAAAAAAAAAGGGGGGGGACAATCAAGAGGAAATAAAACACGTGAGACAAAAGACAAATAAACGAGACAAAAAGGGTGAATAAACCCAAACAAAAAAATTGATAAAATGAACCAAAGTATTTTATACACTTCGATAAGATTTACCCAGAACCATTTTGAGATGACATCATCCAGTTTTTGGATAATCTTAAAACACTTGCAAAAAAAGAACAGTCAGTTTGTATAGTTTCAAAATTAAATTGTAAAAAGTTATTTTTCAAGCAATCAAGACACTGAAGATAAAGTGGGATCTATGAAAAATTGTGAGATGACGTCATCAAACTGATGGTGAGGATTAGACAAATTTTGATTAGCGTTTTTCGATTTTCTAAAATTTCACAATAATCGGTCCAAATATACGAAAACACGAGACCTACGTCGAGAAAACCCGAAATTAGCCATTCGTAAAATGGACCTTACCATAATATTTCCAGATCCTGAACTCGGGACGTAAAAAAGCATCAACAGATCTGTCAAACCAATTCAATGTACGATCTTCTGTCTAAATCACCTTGTACATGAATAAAAATATAGTTGGTTTCATTTTTTACTCTTTAAAAAATATATATAATCTGAACCGACTTACCGATGGCGCTGATCGGCTGACTGCTCGGCTTGACCGACGCGGACATCAACGAGTTCGACGTGGAGGAAATGAGTACAGTGGTGGGGTTATTTAACTGTTGATTCTGTCCGAACGGTCCGGTCGCAGACAGTCTGTAATTACTGATATTTTGGTAAAGATCTGGCGGCGCCTGTGCCGCGGGAGGGGGATGAGGCTGGGTTTGCAAGTACACCGATTGCGTCGAATAGGGACTGGAGGCCGTCTGACCCAAACTGTAATGATTAGGATATTGGGAATATTGGGACCGTCCTTGACCACCTAGCACTCCGCTCTGATCGATCTGGAACGGCCCGTACAGGCCCGTCTGCTGAATTTGTTGCGTCGAATTGTACATGACCGTCGGGGGAGAGGGTATGGCGGAAATGCCGTACTGGTTGCTGCCACCAAGACCAGCCTGCGCAAACAAAAACAACTCAGTCGAATCGCGATACCTCATCGCGCAACTCCGTCTTACTTGATAGCCGATGTGTTGATTGGCGGTGTACTGCTGCGGCGGCTGGCCGAGATTGACGCCGGTCCCGATGACCGGCTGCAGCGGGGGCGGCGACAGCGGCGTGCCCATCAAACTCGGGCCCATGATCCCCGAGTGCTGCTGGTGGTTCGTCGAGTTGAGAACCGCCTGCCCGCCGCCACCGGATACCTGCTGCGTAGGTTTCACCTTTAATTTCCCACTCTTTTATTAACTAGAAAAACACCTTCTGAAGCAACTTACTTTACATACATTTGTGGTATTGTTCGACGCGACTTGGTTCGGCGAAGGGCTGTATCCCTCGTGGTTGTCGTCGGGCGTGTCGTTCCCCTTGCTGAACGCGTTCGGATCGAGCGTGTTCGGGTCCGACACGAACGAGCTCGAGAAGCTCGAGTTGCTGTCCTCCTGGCCGACGCTGTGGTCGGTCGGGGTCTCCCACATCTTCTTCACCGACTGGATCTTGAAGTTCAAGGCGTCGGCCGTCGAGATGGTGTTGTTGCCGGTGGTGATGGCGTGCATCGAGCGCGGCATGCACAGGTTCTTCGAGCTCTTCTCTTCGGTCAGGTGGGATAGCTCGGAGTCAAAAAAATCCAGTTTTATGTCGGCGTTGTCCTCTTTGAAGGAAAGCGGGATCTGGATGGACTCGGACTGCTTGTCGTTTTTGCAGAGGAGGTCCGATATGGGTTTGTTGAAGCCGGAAACCACGGAGCCGTCGATGCCCTCCTCGAGTTTCGAGCGCGGCTTGTCCGATCTCGAGTTACGAGAGCCGGGAGCCGATTTGAAGTTCGTGTTTTCGAAGATGATGGTGTTGACAGGGGGCGTGGTTCCGTCTAGGATTGCCTTGTCCTGCAACTGAGTGCTTTTTCCGATAATCTGAAACGAGTTTGTTAGGGGTCAAACGATAATAGACTTTCTTTATGGTATTGTCGAACTTGGTGCCCACCAGTCGAGCTCAAAATTTACGTCCCATGTTTTTTAAAGGTAACAAAAAAAGTGCGAAAAATAATAACATTCAGGATTTTCATAATTAAAAATTTTCAAGTAAAATTATAAGTAATTCATGACTGTAATTCAATTACTTTCGAAATAATTAACCCAAAAATATTGTTTTGTTTTTCTGTACGATTACTGTAAGAATATATTTCAGCAAACACTTATTTCGCAAGACTGAAGTTTTTCAGTTAATTACTAAAGGAATTCACTTCGGTAGTACCTGCTAAGATAAGACTGATTTTGGCAAATCAGGTACCTTCCAAGAAAGAGAGGGTGGGTGGGCGGGGCTAGTACTTGCTAAAATAAGACCGATTTTGGCAAACCACATACCCTCTAAGAAAAGAGAAGGTGGGTAGGTGGTTAAAACTGATTTTGGCAAATGACATATTCTCTAAGAAAATAAAAGCCGGGCACTTTCAAATTCTTTCCAAACAGGAATACCTAGAACCTCAAGATGTAAAAAAAAAAGTAACTCAAAAAGAGGTCAGGTCAGAATTTTCCAATAACGAATAAAATATCTAAAGAGTTATATCAAACATAATCAATGTTAAATTCATATTCTTGGATGATGGAATATGTACAAAAATTCTATACGAGATTTTGACGTAACTGTAAAAATTGCTGTATTTTAACGATTTTCGAAAATCTAGAAGAAAATGTGTTCAACTAATTTTCAAAAATTTTTGAAAAATGGTCGAAAATGTAAAGTGCCAAAATCAGTCTTTTCGTATCAAATACTAGCCCCGCCCACCCACCCTCAATTTTCTTGGAAGGTCTGTCATCTGCCAAAATCAGTTTCATCTTAGCAAGTACTAGCCCCACCCCCCACTCTTCTCATTCTAACGTCTAATTTTATTTGTGTTTAGTATAAGATCATTCATTTCATTCAAAGCGGACAAAATCAGACATTCAGGATTTTCATAATTAATCATTTTCAAGTAAAATTATAAGTAATTCATTACTTTCGATGTAATGAGTAATTGTACTGAATTTCTTTTTGTGAGTAATTAAATTACGTTTAACCCAAAAATATTGTTTTGTTTTTCTGTACGATTACTGTAAGAATATATTTCAGCAAACACTTATTTCGCAAAACTCAAGTTTTTCAGTTAATTACTAAAGGAATTGACTTCAGTAGTGCCTACTAAGATAAGACTTATTTTGGCGAATCAGGTACCTTCTAAGAAAAGAGAGGGCGGGTGGGCGGGGCTAGTACTTGCTAAAACAAGACTGATTTTGGCAAATGACATACCCTCTAAGAAAAGAGAAGGCGGGCACTTTCAAATTCTTTCCAAACAGGAATACCTAGAACCTCAAGATTGTTAAAAAAAAAAGTAACTCAAAAAGAGGTCAGGTCAGAATTTTCCAATAACGTATAAAGTATCTAAAGAGTTATCTCAAACATAACCAATGTTAAATTCATATTCTTGGATGATGCAATATCTACAAAAATTCTATACCGAGCGATTTTGACGGAAATGTAAAAATTGCTGTATTTCAATTAGCGATTTTCGAAAATCTAGAAGAAAATGTGTTCAACTAATTTTCAAAAATTTTTGAAAAATGGTCGAAAATGTTAAGTGCCAAAATAAGTCTTTTCGTATCAAATACTAGCCCCGCCCACCCACCCTCAATTTTCTTGGAAGGTCTGTCATCTGCCAAAATCAGTTTCATCTTAGCAAGTACTAGCCCCACCACCCCCACTCTTCTCATTCTAACGTCTAATTTTATTTCTGTTTAGTATAAGATCATTCATTTCATTCAGAGCGGACAAAATCAGACATTCAGGATTTTCATAATTAATCATTTTCAAGTAAAATTATAAGTAATTCATTACTTTCGATGTAATGAGTAATTGTACTGAATTTCTTTTTGTGAGTAATTAAATTACGTTTAACCCAAAAATATTGTTTTATTTTTCTGTACGATTACTGTAAGAATATATTTCAGCAAACACTTATTTCGCAAAACTCAAGTTTTTCAGTTAATTACTCAAGGAATTGACTTCAGTAGTACCTACTAAGATAAGACTTATTTTGGCAAATCAGGTATCTTCTAAGAAAAGAGAGGGCGGGTGGGCGGGGCTAGTACTTGCTAAAACAAGACTGATTTTGGCAAATGACATACCCTCTAAGAAAAGAGAAGGCGGGCACTTTCAAATTCTTTCCAAACAGGAATACCTAGAACCTCAAAAACGTTATAAAAAAAAGTAACTCAAAAAGAAGTCAGGTCAGAATTTTCCAATAACGGATGAAGTATCTCCAGAGTTATCTCAAACACAACCAATGTTAAATTCATATTCTTGGATGATGCAATATCTACAAAAATTCTATACCGAGCGATTTTGACGTAAATGTAAAAATTGCTGTATTTCAATTAGCGATTTTCGAAAATCGAGAAGAAAATGTGTTCAACTAATTTTCAAAAATTTTTGAAAAATGGTCGAAAATGTTAAGTGCCAAAATCAGTCTTTTCGTATCAAATACTAGCCCCGCCCACCCACCCTCTATTTTCTTGGAAGGTCTGTCATCTGCCAAAATCAGTTTCATCTTAGCAAGTACTAGCCCCACCACCCCCACTCTTCTCATTCTAACGTCTAATTTTATTTCTGTTTAGTATAAGATCATTCATTTCATTCAGAGCGGACAAAATCAATCAAGGAAATGGAGACAGGGTGGATGGGCAGGGCATATTATATTCTTCTGTGGAATGAAAGCGGAAACTAATAGAACCTACGACGTTAAAAAAAAAGGTGTTTGTCGCAACTTTTTTGTGATATTTGCTATAAAATTTATTTATTATTTCGTCCACTTGACACGACTTCAGTGAAATTAAAAAAAAATAAAATAAAAATTGCCTTATTTCAGTTGGCGATACTGGAAAAACGGTAAGAATTTCCAAAAAAAACAAGGCAGAAAATTAATTCCAGATGTCGAAATCTACGACAAAATCTTTGGCTCAATTTCGAAAATGGGTCAAAATCAGTTATATCTTATAAAATGCTAGCCCCGCCCTCCCGCCCTGTTTTCTTGGAAGATATGTGATTTGCTAAAAACAGTCTTATCTTAGCAAATACTAGGCCCGCCCACCCGCCCTCTGTTTCCTTGGAAGATATATAATCTGCTGAAAACAGTCTTATCTTAGCAAAAACTAGGCCCGCCCACCCGCCCTCTATTTTCTTGGAAGATATGTCATTCGCAAAATCAGTTTCATCTTAGCAAGTACTAGCCCCTCCCACTCCCACTCTTCTCATTCTAATGACTAATTTTATTTCGCTTTTGTATAAGACTATTCACTTCATTCAGAGCGGACAAAATCAATCAAGAAAATGGAGACAAGGTGGGTGGGCGGGGCTAATTATGTTCTTCTGTGGCGGAACAGTATAAACTAATAGAATCTAGGATGTGAAAAAAGAAAAAAAGAAGCACTAGTCGCACCTTTTTTGGTATATTATTTACTATAAAATTCATTTATGATTTCGTGCATTTGACATGACTTCAGTGAAATTAAAAAAAAAAAAATTAAATTGCCATATTTCAATTGGCGATACTGGAAAAACGGTAAGAATTTTCAAAAAAAAAAAAACAAAGCAGAAAATTAATTCCAGATGTCGAAATTTACGACAAAATCTTTAGTTCAATTTCGAAAATGTGTCAAAATCAGTTATATCTTATAAAATGCTAGCCCCGCCCACCCGCCCTCTGTTTTCTTGGAAGATATGTGATTTGCTGAAAACAGTCTTATCTTAGCAAATACTAGCCCCGCCCACCCGCCCTCTCTTTTTTTGGAAGGTATGTCATTTGCCATAATCAGTTTCATCTTAGCAAGTACTATCCCCGCTCGCCCCCACTCTTCTTATTCTAACGACTAATCTTATTTCTGTTTAGTATAAGATCATTTATTTCAATCAGGGCAGACATCAATCACTGAAATGGAGATAGGGTGGGTGAGCGGGGCATATTATGTTCTTCTGTAAAGTGAGAGTGGAAACTAATAGAATCTATGATGTAAAAAAAAATGCGGACTCTATTTTCTTAGAAAGTGCATCCTTTGCAATATCAGTTTCATATTTGCAAGTACTAGTACCTCCCACCCGCCCTTTATTTTCTTAGAGCGTATGTCATTGGGCAAAATCTTATCTGAGCAAAAATTGGCCCCGCCCACCCGTCCTTTACTGTCTTGGAAGGTATGCGGTTTGCCAAAATCACTCTTATTTTAGGAAGTGCCAACCCCGTCCACTCGGTGTCGTGAGAATGAGAAGAGTTTGGGTGGGCGGGGCTAGTACTTGCTAACATAAAAATGATTTTGGCAAATGACACCTTCCAAGAAAATTCAGGGCGGGTGGGCGGGGCTTGTATTTGCAAAGATAAGACTGTTTTTACCAAATTACAGATCTATCTATCGAAGACTGATTTGGAAAAGAACCTACTCCCTAAGAGAACAAAGGGTGGGTGGGCGGGGTTAGTACTTGCCAAACTACAATCAGTTGAAGAACCAAATTAAACGAAAACTATAGAACAAAGAAAAAAGTCTTTTCATAAAATATGTTCGTGGTACATCTACAATCCAAAAATCTTCTTTAAACTTCGCCCAAATACAATAAATAATAATAATACTCTCAAAACGTAAGGGTTCTTCGAAGAAAAACGGTTAATTTCTGTAACAATCTTTCTACTTCTAGTGACCTAATACCAAATAATTAAAAATTAGTAGCTGCTAAGATAAAACTGATTTTAGCAGGTACTAGCCCCGCCCACCCGCCCTCTGTTTTCTTAGAGAGATCTCATTTGCCAAAATTAGTCTTGTCCTAGCAGATACTAGGCCCACCCACCATCTTTTTTCATAGAGGATATCTCAATTGCCAAAATTACTCTTATCTT